CTACGGGGAAATTTCCTTCGGGTTACGACCAACTCGGCATACGCGCAGAGTCACGGAACGGATTAAGTTCGTATCCCGAGGTACCACTACCATGGTGTGAAATCCTAAAGAATAAACAAGTTGAAATGGAATGGGAGATCTTGAAAAATGAGATAGTGAAAGCAGGCATAAACCTCATGAACATGAGAAGTAGATTTAAGAGACCTATGAGAAACCTATCTTCAGCCATGACTTCTTGCTGGCTCTTTTCACATCCATGCAAGTATGCAGACAAAACAATGTGTACTTGCTTTGCTGATAAGGAGCTGAAAATAGGTGTTAGTGTATATTCTGACAGAAATACTTCTCATAGGAAAAGGAGGGGGCAAATTTGGAGTGAATAAGGGAACCTAAGGGGACTCTGGGAAGAAGCTGGAAAATGGAGACCATGGAAATGGAGATGATAGCTGGTAACTAAAATGGCAACATGGACTAAACATGACAGTTTAATATGGATAGATGGTTGGTCCAGAAAAAGGTGGCCTAGAAAGAATTAGAGTGAAGGCTTATTAATTCATGACTAGCGTGAAGCCCACAAAGCACTTGAGCTCATGATCTGGGAAGAGTCCTGAAGAAGAAGTAGCAGCAGAGGCTCCTAATCTACTCATCACAGAGGGCCCTCAGTGGAGTTCAAGATGACAAAAGGAGATCAAAGGTTTTACTTGCCAAAGGATCACTAGCTAAATCAAGGGGAGGAGTTTCATGAGAATAATAGAGATAGAATATTGTCAGTAATTAATCTAACAGAAGGCTTTACTGTAGTGCAATTTTGAACATTTGATGATTTGAACATTGGTACTACATTTTGTCTGTTTCTTGCACGTTCAACATCAAAAAATTATAAGGTATTTGCATGTGTATTACTGGTGGAGGATGGAAAGCATTAAAGGTTCATGGGGTGGTGGTGTCAGGCCCAGCCCAAGAACAATGATGAACAGTCCAGTCGAGTATAGTCCCTTTATTTGTTTACACCTTATAGACAGAATCTTGCCAAACTAAATCTATACTACAGCAACTAGTGGATATACCCTGGGAGATTCTAGGGAGTGGCTATCCTGACTTTCTTACTCTTCTCCCGCTCCCCCTGCAGACTGTTTAAAACCTTTTGAAGTAAGTTCAGCAATCTCTTGCTCAATTGGGCTGGTAAAGTTTCTTTTTTCCAAAATGGCTGCTTTCAGATCTGCAGTAGAGTGCCCTGGAAGATTGAAATGCTGATATTATTTTGTCCTTGTTTTGAGTCCTGGTGTCAAATTTGCCTCCATTAGTTCTTTTGTATAAAGTTTGCCTGTTTGTCATACAGTGGGGCAAAAAAGTATTTAGTCAGCCACCAATTGTGCGGGTTATCCCACTTAAAAAGATGAGAGAGGCCTGTAATTTTCATCATAGGAATACCTCAACTATGAGAGACAAAATGAGAAAAAAAATCACCAATTGTGCAGGTTCTCCCACTTAAAAAGATGATGAAAATTACAGGCCTCTCTCATCTTTTTAAGTGGGAGAACTTGCACAATTGGTGGCTGACTAAATACTTTTTTACCCCACTGTACTTTCTGACTTGCAAGATTCTGTTACTAATGAAAATTACAGGCCTCTCTCATCTTTTTAAGTGGGAGAACTTGCACAATTGGTGGCTGACTAAATACTTTTTTACCCCACTGTACTTTCTGACTTGCAAGATTCTGTTACTAATGAAAATTACAGGCCTCTCTCATCTTTTTAAGTGGGAGAACTTGCACAATTGGTGGCTGACTAAATACTTTTTTACCCCACTGTACTTTCTGACTTGCAAGATTCTGTTACTAATGAAAATTACAGGCCTCTCTCATCTTTTTAAGTGGGAGAACTTGCACAATTGGTGGCTGACTAAATACTTTTTTACCCCACTGTACTTTCTGACTTGCAAGATTCTGTTACTAATGAAAATTACAGGCCTCTCTCATCTTTTTAAGTGGGAGAACTTGCACAATTGGTGGCTGACTAAATACTTTTTTACCCCACTGTACTTTCTGACTTGCAAGATTCTGTTACTAATGAAAATTACAGGCCTCTCTCATCTTTTTAAGTGGGAGAACTTGCACAATTGGTGGCTGACTAAATACTTTTTTACCCCACTGTACTTTCTGACTTGCAAGATTCTGTTACTAATGAAAATTACAGGCCTCTCTCATCTTTTTAAGTGGGAGAACTTGCACAATTGGTGGCTGACTAAATACTTTTTTACCCCACTGTACTTTCTGACTTGCAAGATTCTGTTACTAATGAAAATTACAGGCCTCTCTCATCTTTTTAAGTGGGAGAACCTGCACAATTGGTGGCTGACTAAATACTTTTTTGCCCCACTGTACTTTCTGACTTGCAAGATTCTGTTACTATAGCCTTACAATAAAGTAGAATTAGTGCATCTGGTTGTGTTTCCTGTCTGGTATACAACTGTGTCCTGTTTTATTTATATATAAGCCAAATGTTTAGGCCACCAACTCCAAGCAACTCTGGGTGACATCACAAAAATAAAAAAATATATACATAAAATAGCACACAACATAATGTAAAATATAACCAGCATATGGGGCTGAAACTCCCCCCCCCCAAAAAAAACCTAACATGCCTCTGGATCAATCGCAACTAAAAGGGAATCCATTCAAACAATCTAGCCCCAGGCCTATAGGAACAAACAGCATGAGGAATTCCAGGGGAGGAGGATGCCGTTCAATATAAAAAGGACATGGAGAAGCTGGAGTGGGTTCACAGGAGTGCTACCTGGATCATAAGAGCCCTTTAGAGGCAGGACTGAACATGTAGGATGAAAGGCTGGAGGTTTCAACCTCACCTCCTAGAAGCCTAGTCTGCAAACTCTATCTTCTCTTCCTTCCTAGCAGCTTGGTAGTTACTGATGCTACTGCCTATCTTTCAGAGAGTTGCCTTTACTTTTCATGCTCCCCACAATCCCACTGTGCAAAGGCAGAGGGTCTACACTGCCTCTGCCTTGTTGGCTGGTAAAAGAAAAAAAATAAAAATGAAATATGGTCTATAGTAGTGTTTCTGGCTAGGGAATTCTGGGAGTTGAAGTCCACACATCTTAAACTTGGCAAGGTTGAGAAACACTGGTCTATAGTGTCACCTCTTGACCTTGCAATAGTAGGGTATAAGACTAGGGAAATGAGCCTCACCCTCATTTGGGAGACAGATCAATCTCATAAGATATAAACAGAATCAAAATTTATTTTAAAAAGGAAAAGCTAATAGGTTAAATTCCATATAGTTTACATGCAAAACATTAAGTGGGGCTGGAAATAAAAATACAGAGCTGCTAAAATTTCAGATAGCATCTTAAAAGAACCTCCAATCAAAAATGTACAGGAAAAATTCTGTAAAATAAAATTCTGACAGACCATGGGATAAGGCTAGCCTGCTGCTCATTTGGAGACAATTCTGATTTAAAGAAGTGCCAATTAGCCTAAAACACACAGGGACTGGATTAAGACAATCCTCATCCAGCAGACACAGAAAAGAAATTAAATTTAGCACAGTTCTTAGCTCATTTGTTTGTGTTGCTGCAGAGAATGGATGACCCTTGGTACAGATGTTACCTCTGTGCTGATTTCCTGCAAATGTTAGCTTAGATCTGAGCCTGAGGAGAGATTGGTTTTCAAACTCCCATCCAGCAACTTCTGCTTGATTCTTAAAAAAACATTTTCCTCTTTAGCAGAAAAGGGGGGATTAGAGAGAAACTGCTTGTTGTGTATGTGTCAAAGCCATGTGCTTCTGCTTGAGATGATGAAGATATTGTCTATGCTGGCAGCTTGCCATCTGCCTTGAAGGAGGGTCAGACAGGCTGAAATAATGAACAGGGTGTGGGTAGCCTGCCCCTTCATTACACGGTCAAGAAACCAAGCCTTATGAGGAAGTGTGAAAGGTACTGGGCCAACTTATCTTCCATAAAAGTAAACTATACAATAGTGGTTTACAAATACCAAAAGGCTGTCATGTGCAAGAGGTGGTTCTCTGTTAAAACTGACAGCAAGATAAGGACCAATGGTTTTAAAGGAAGAAAGCAAATCTGGAACACCTGCTCCCTGCTAGAGGTTTTCTTAATGATGGTTTACTGAGTTCCTGCACTGTCCAAACTTGAAGAAGATAACTCATATTTATAGGCTTATTTCTTTATTAAATTTATATCCTGATTTTTTTTCAGAAGCTCAGTATAAAATCCGCTCCACCCTGTATGTTCTATGATACTTGTCCTGAGCAGGCTTTCTTGGAAGTATTTTATATTGATTCCCTGGACACTACTTTCACTAAGTTCTAAATATCTAATGCTTTATAAATGCCTAGTTATTTTTGTTTTTCTTACTGTGAACTTGCTATATTGAGAACTACCTGAAACCCATGCTAAAGTTAATATAGTAGTAGGGAAATTATTCTATTCCACCAAATTGTTTCCATGCCATTTTAAAGTACTGACGTTATTTTGGAATATATATACAGACAATATATCCTAGCTGCCCTATCTGGTTTTGTTTTAAAAATATCTTTTAAAAATTAAGAACAATGTAGGTTAATGTAGTCTACATACTGTATACATGCATCGCTATGTTTGTGATTCAGCATGATTTGAATACAGGGAGGGTCTAAGTCATAAAATGCTGCAGTTTAGGAAATGTGCCTTTGCTCACCGTGCAGCAGTTGCTAAGCAACCTTTTTCTTCTGAATGCCTGCTGAACAGCAGAGATTATAATGGCAGCATTGCAGCTGAATGGAGGAGCAGCTAGAATTTCTTTGCAGTAATATTTCAAAGCAATCTAGTCTTGTAAGCTTCAAGTTTGCAGCATTAGCTGTTGTGATATAGCAAAGCTCCTGGGAAGTCCAGAATCATAAAGATAAAATCAAGAAAGGAATAAGGGCAGATGAAACATGGAAAGATAGATGGAAGCAAATGCATGTAGACCAAATTATTCATAATAGAAGAAGGATCCAGAGATCATCACACAAGCTCACTGAAGAACAAAATCAGCATTGAAATTAGAGGACAGACAGAAACAGGAGTATAAGTGTGCACAACAAATATGTCAAATTGTAATTTATGCATTAAAAATCTATTGTAAAAGAATGCCAGAGCCTTTCTGAATAATGTCTTGAAACCACAGTGAGAAGATTAAGTTTAGCAAAGAAAAATTAAGATGAAACATCTGAAGTCTTCAACTTCAGTTATTTGATTCAGATGTTTATAATAGCTATTACATATTTAGTATTAAGTATCCATTATTTTTTATTTTTTACTAGTTCATTTGGGAACGGCTTGCTGCTGGCTTTAAACACAAGAACTATCGTTCACGAGAAGGCGTGTGTCTGTGTCTTATTGCAACATTAAATGCGTATGTATTTTAATTTTATGAAAAAAGCTCTTAAATTATTTTAATGGTGGTACGTTTTCTTTCCTTAAACTTTCTACTTTTTAAGATCCTAAACTGAAAACAGGACTTACTCTAATTATGAATTCATAATGTTTCCAAATGTAAGGTTTCAGTAATTAGATGATAACAGAACTAGTATCTATTGATGTTATTGATTCTTTACATGATAGAGAAAAAAATAACCTTTGCTGCATTTTTGTTTTGTTTTATTTTCCTAGCTATGGTGCACAGTCACTAATCCTCAGCAAACTGGTGCCACACTTGTGTGTTTTGTCTGGAGACTCCAATAGCCAGGTAAGATTATCTTAGTTGCACAACAGAAACAAAGCCCCTATAGAGTCTGATTTCTTTATTGTCAGTGTTATCTCTAAAGAAAGATTATAAAAAAAAAACCAGTCTGCTTTCCTCTCTCAGTGATTCATAAAGCTTCAGAGTAGTACAAATTTCTGTGAAGTTAGACTAAGGTAAAAATAATAGGAGAAGTTGGTGCCTAGTTTCTCATGATTATCCCCAAGTTATGGTTTGTCTTACACATTTTATATTTATACCATAGAAATAAACTATAATATATCTTATCTTAATACAGGCTTTTGTGATCACATGACAGATGAATTAATTTCCTGTCCTGGATCTCTTACTCTAATAAACTTTAAAATTTTGATTTTGAAATAACTTTTCCATCACAGAGAAAAGGTGCATATGGATTTATTTAATCAAAAATGTTTAATAAAAATGTTAATTGTGTATATATGTATGTATATATGTGTGTGTGTTATACACACACACATGTATAAGAGCTTTTGCAGAAACTTTGGAGATGGGATTTTAAAAAGGCATACAACATGAAATAAGTTCAATTCCTATGATGTTGTTTAGGTTTCAGTTTGGGAGCTAACAGGCTGCTTGGCAATTATATCATGTAGTCTGTTTAGTTCTGATGTAATATATTATATGAATTCATTAGCTGTTTTTGTAAGCTGTTATTTATTTCTTAATGTATGAAACCAGACTATTTTAGTTCAATACATTATGATGAACCAAATTGTGTTCTCAAAAGAATGCCTATTTGTGAAGGCATTGTTTCAAGAGCGTTGCAGTTAAACAGAAATCAGTTATTTGGGGCCCCTAGACAAACAGTTCTCGATATGCCCCAAGTTGCCAAATTTTGGATTTGTTATTATTTATTCTTAAATAATTATTTATTATTTATTCAATTATTTCTAGCTGTTACCTGATTCCCCCCCCCTCCCCCTGACCAGTGGCAGCAATGCTACTGCTATATAAGCAAGTATATGGGGAAAGCAGAGAGAAAGATACACAATCCCCTCCCACCACCCCCGGAGCATCCTGGCAGGTCTACAAACAGTGAAATAGGTCATTTTGCCTGCTCAATAGGTCTGCTTTGTTAAACATGCCTGAAAGAGGGTTCTGGTAGCTGCCATCTCTTGTCCTACAGCATACAAACAACTGGATGCTTTCAACAAAACCACAATGTGGCACTGCCTATTATGCATTTACCAGCCGGGGGTAGATGGTGTTGACAATTACCAATCCTGCAGTTGCTCATGGACTTGTGTAGTTGTGGTATATTGAATTACTACCATGAATGTGTGAAGGGAACCTGGAAGCTGTCATTTTATTTTGGATTGTTATTTATTGAAGTCATTATCTCTCGATGGAATTCATTGGGGATTGATGGCCCTGTCAGAAATGGACAAGTTGTGATTTTAAATATAACTTCACTTTTACAGTGGATCTTTTAATTTTTATACTATTTGCTATACATGCTGTTTATTAGTGTAAACTGCCAAAAATCTGTGATTGATTTAGTGGGTTATAAATGTGATAAATAAAATAAGATGCAGCAGGTATTGTAGGTACAGTCAGATACAGCATGATTTGGTCAGTGATATGGCAGCAGTGATACAAAGCATGCTTACAGCAAAGAAATTTAAATATTTTCTTTGTGCTGTATACTTTTATTGAGGAGTTATATCTACATGTAAATGTCCAGTGCAGTATAGTGTATTAGAGAAGATTAAATTTCAGGAAGTTGCCAGGAAGGAATTTGATAACTCTAAAGAATCATTTTAGTGTGTTTCATCAGATTTGTTGATCAGCGCGTTTGAAAAAAATCTAGCAGTGTTTCAAGGGACAAGTTAAAAATAAAGTAGGCTTGTTTCACTGCTTTCCTTATTAGGTGTACAAATTTTGAAAGGTAGATGTGGAAAGAGATGATGGAAAAAGATTAGAAGATTAGATATTAAACACAGCAAATTATTATACCTTTAAATATTGTTTACCAGTTTGTACTGTATGTTCACAGGTGAGAGATGCTGCAATATTGGCAATTGTGGAGATTTATAAACATGTAGGAGAAAAAGTAAGAGCAGACCTTAACAAGAGAGGAATTCCTGCTGCAAGGTGAGTTTGTCCTAAAGGCTATTAATATCACTTAATATATATTACTGTGATTGTGTATGCATGCACTTATTAAAAGCTTTCATAAGGTTCTATTCTCAAACAAGTGTAAAGTCCATGTCTTTTTTGCAGAAGACAGTTGACCGATCTAGCAAAGTGCTTGGAGGACAATATTGATACAGGCCAGAACAATGCCATCCTATTTGCTATTTTGTGGTTGAACAAGATGGCAAATATTTCTCCTGCATAAACAACCATTTTATCATGTACTGCTCAGCTAGAACAAGAGTTTCTCAGAAATTGTAACATTATAGGAGGAGAGCTGTGATAATCTATGGCAGCCAAAAATCAGAAGGAGTCTAGTAGCACTTTTTCACATTAGCACATTTTATTTAAAAGGCAAAAGTTTTCATACGATATAGCTCACTTCAACAGATGCATGGATTACAAATACCTTCTGATATCAAACTATTTCAACTTCTCAGGACATTCTGTTACAAATCTCAAAGTAACCATTTTGGGGAAAGAAAAAAAAATTAACAGCACAATTGAATGTGAGATTGCTAAACTGACATCAAGAAATTTCACGTTGCCTCAAAAGGTCTCAACAAACACAATGGTATTTTAACACATTACAGTTGTTAATTGATAATGTACTTGTAATCTGGTTTACATGTAAACTGCATTTATATAACCAGCCTGTGTTCCCCCTTCCCCTCCAGTTCATCCCAATTTACATTTATATCAGTTTAGCAGCTGTTTGTATCTGATGTTAAAATTTGTTAGTCTGAAAAGATGCTATTAGATTCCCTCTGATTTTCATCTTCTCTCTGTTATGAAGAAGTGGAATAGCCAAACATTTGAAGAGCCTGGCTTTTGTTTCTTTTGCCATTATTTTGACAATATCAGCCTTTTGTTGGGGTCTGACATACTTTAAATCCTACAGGAAAGTAAGGATGCCTTAAATCCTTAAAGAAATTCACTTCAGGACCTGAACAGGAAAAACATTGTTTTTTTTTAAAACTTAGCTTAACTAAAAGAATTTGGATGTACATTATTGGATCCCCAAAACCTTGGAGAGTAACAGAAGTGAAAGTAAAATCTAAAGAACAAAATCCTATATGAAATAATGAACTTATAGTAAATAATGGGAAAGTTCCAATGGAAAAATTGTGGTCAGGTTATTTCAGTAACCTAAAAAGATTCTCCCCACCCCCCGAATACCATTACACATTAGAAAACAGTGTTGAACATTTTCACTAAGCTTTTAACTCCTGTGTCATGAAAAAGCCAACTTGCTTTTGGCATCCTACAGATTCCTACAGTAAAACACCATTCCTACAGTAAAACAATGTGAATTTATCATGAATCAAACCATATTTTCTGTACCCAATTTTGAGAACTGTCTAGGGATGGATTATATCCTAGTTAGTGTAGATGTTTATTGGCTTCTCTTTCCATTCATTTTTGAGACATAAATTAAGTAATAATACACATAAGACTAAATACTTTAAAAATTGTAAAGGGAGAGTTATAAACTATCATAAGGCAACTAACCCCATAATTGTACTGTATTCCATATGATAAGTAATGGTTCAGATTTGCTGTCAACAAATTTTATAAATATTTTAAGCAGTGGTTAACATCCATAGCAAGTTCACTAGCTTCTGACAGTTAAGGCAATCAAGGATATGACTATGAACTGTGACTGAGGCCAGTTATTCCTACAGTCTCAGACACAGTTTCAAAGCATACTTGGAATAGCAATTATTTTTAGTAATGATACTACTAACTGTGCAACAGTACTGTTTTCCCATATAACCTGTGATAATAATAACAGAGTCAAGTCATTTCAGCATTGTGAAGAAAGAGGATGACAAATATGGGACTGATTTTACTTGAATTTGATATAATGAGGGTTTGTTATGGTGGTGGTGTTTTGTTTTGGGTTTTTTGGCCAGGTTTGATGTATTTTGATGCTGGCATTACTATAATACCAAGTACTAAAAAAGAAGCTTTACATCACAAAAACTATTTATATGTTCTGTTGAATTTCCCTCTAACGCTGCTTCTGAGCACAAACTGGGGTTGTCTTGTAACTATTATCCCAGCTCAGATTAAGTCAGACCCACTGGACTGCATAACCCAAGCTCACATAATGTGTGTGGCAATAGGTCTCTAAATTTTTAAGCAGACGTTCTTTAATTAAAACTGGAAACCAGATTTCTCTCAAATCAACATGAGGGGAATGTTTTTAATTATGCTAGTCATGTTGGGTATTTTGAATCAGAATGTATTATGATTATTTCTTTCTTTATTTATTTATTTATTTAACAGCATTTATATACTGCCCCAATCTAAAAGTCTCTGTACAGTCTTGTATTGTACAATGCAGTATTGTACACACTTCTTAAGAATTGTATATAACATTTTAAAATTTTAAATATAATTAGGTGTTAATTGTGTTTTACAGTATTACAAACTATTGACGTACAAGTCTATTAGTTAAAAATATAATCTTTGAATAACTGACTATAGAAATCAGCCTCAGAAGGAAATACATACATTGTTTAAGGAATTTAGAGGCTTCAGTTTTGGACCAAGTTGTCCCAGAGCCAGCTACAAACTTCCATCTGCATCAGGGATCCCTTCTCTCACAAAATCTGCCTGGAATCTGGCACTTTTTCAGGAGTTACAGTTGTATTGGGCCTGGGTGTTGCTAAGATAATTATTTTGAAAATTTGGAAAAGTAGTAATATTCCTGATATTAAGGATTGGATTCAAGATATGTGTAACAGCTGTTTTTGAAGAGGCAGTTTTTCCACTCATCAAAAAATGACTCAATGTGGTTTTTGGTGGCATAGATTTTATGTTTTGTAATGTTAGAGAACCATTAATTTTTTTTTTTTTAAGTATATGTAGAAACATGCTTGGCATTTGATTAAAATTTGGCATATAGAGATATTTCCCCCTTTTCTGGTTTTGTGTATGTATGTGTTTTGTTAAGTTGAGTAGCTGTATTTTTTGCAGTTTTTCTTTCTTTTCTTTTTTTTCTGTTTCTTTTGGCAAAACTTGTTAAGATAAAAAAAAAATCACAAGGAAAAAAAGGTCAGTATTATGATAGCAGTGACTATAAGTAAGTACAGTGGAACCTCGGTTTACGAATTTAATTTGTTCTGTGACTCTGGTTGCAACCCGAATTGGTCGCAACCCAAAGGAAATTTCCCCATAAGGTTCAATGTAATTACCATTACGCCATTCTGGCGTGGAGGACAGGGGGGCGGCTATTGCTTGTAAGGAGAGTCCCCCTCCCTTCGACCACATGACAGGGGCAGGAAATGGCAGCGGGACACGTGACCGGGGCG